TATGTAATAATGATGATGATGATGATAATAATTATCATAATAATTATAATAATAATATAATAATCATAATAATATCAATGATAATAACTTTTCTTTCTCACTACTATCATCAACATCACAGTTCGTTGACACCATCAGTTATCCAATGCATACACCAACACATGTTGCGGATTTCACATTCTATTTACAAATCTATCAACATCATCATCATTATCGTGATCATCATCATCACCACATTATCGTCATCATTATCGTCATCATCACAGTAATCATTATTTTAATCATTATTCTTGATCACCAGACATGACCAAGCCAAAAAATGCACGTTGTGGATTTTACTTACTATTTACAAATCCATCAACACAACAACAACATCCTCATCATCTTAGTCTTCATCATCACCACTACACCATCATCATCCTCATTATCATCATCATCACATCATTTTTATTATCATCTTCAGATATAATATGCCAAAAAACGTAATGGATTTCACGTTCTATTTATAAACTCATCATCATAACATCATTATTACCATCATCATCTTCATCATCAAAACATAATCACCACACCATAATCATCATCTTCACCACACCACCATCATCATTATCACACACCACCACCACCATCATCATCATCACCACACCACCACCATCATCATCATTATCATCCTCACCGTCATCTTTATCACCATCATCATCTCAATCATCGTCATCATTATTGTGTATCACCAAGCCAAAAAACCCACATCAGATCACATGTTTCGAACTTCAAGTTCTCTCGGCAGAATCTGAGTAGCGAAATAGCCAGCCTTCTTGGTTAAGTGCTTTCTCTTTAAACACTATTGTACGTAGAACTGAATGAGTCGTTGGTGAAAGAAAAAAAAAAATTCATTGAGACATTGGAAATGTACCTACATGTGTATGCATCTTTCATCATCATCGTCGTCATTATCTTCTTCGTGATCATCATCATCGTCATCATCATCTTCGTCATCTTCGTCATCATCATTATCATCATTGTCGTTATTATCGTCATGTCACGATCATTGTAGTTGTATTTGAGTATTTCATAATAAAGATTTTCTTCCTCATCATCTTTATAATTGTCATCGCCATTACTAGCCATCATTCATCATCATTTTCATCATCCTCGTCACTTCCTGTGTATTATCACGTGATGGCGGTGATAACGATGACGATGTTACTGAAAGTGACGATGATGATTATGAAGGTGATAGTGATAATGATGATGATGACGACGATGACGATGATGACAAATACTTAAAGTCAATCCCTAACCATGGTGATGATATATGGCGATGAAATGAAATTAAAAGTGCATTCAGAAATGAAATATTGGTGGGGTTTGAATTTACGGTGCTGCTTTTAACGGGAAAGATGGATGATGATGGCAACAGTAATGATATCAATGATGATATCAACTATGATATCAATTATGATATGACGATTATGGTGATGATGATGACAATGATGATGATGATGATGATGATGATGATGACGATGGCGATGATGATGGTGATGATGATGACGATGATGGTGGTGATGATGGTGATGATGATGATGATTGTGATAGTGATGATGACAATTGAAATGAGAAATAAACAAACGCTTATACCTTCACTCACAGCTGTTATGGCGACATTTCATTTTTTGTCAGATGGGTAAGCATTACACCCATCAACGCCCTGATTGCTCCAGCAATTTGTGACAAATATGAGTTATGATAGGATGACGGTGATAGTGATGATGATGATGACGATGATGACGACGATGATGCTGTGTAGATGCTAGTGGTGATGATGATGATGATGATGATAGTGTCCAGATGGTGATGATGATTGTGTCCAGATGGTGGTGATGATGATGATAGTGTCCAGATGGTGGTGATGATTATGATAGTATCCAGATAGTGGTGATGATCATTCTTATAACCACCAACATCAACATTACATCATCATCATCGCTATCATCGCAAATATGATATCATCGTTATCATCGTCAATATGATATCATTTTTAAACCCACCATCATCAACATCAATATATCATAGATATGACCATCTCCATCATCATCAATATATCATTTTAAATATAATATCATTGTTATCATCGTTAAGATGATACCATTTTTTAAAACCACCATCATCATCAATATATCATTTATATGACCATGATCATCATCATCCATATATCATTTTATGACAATCTTCATCGTCATCATCATTGTATCATTTTTGATATCATAGTCAATATGATATTATTTTGACAACCATCATCATCAACATATCATTTTCGATATCATAGTCAATATGATATCATTTTTACAACCATCATCAACATCATCATTGGCAATTTCATCTTTCTATTCATGTAGAATCAGCGCTATTTTAGATTTAGGAAAAAAAAAGAGATTCAGCATGGAAGTGAAGGCTTTCCAGCCAGCATTGCCAACATCTCCATTGTGTTTTTCATAATAACTCAACTGTCTTAAGGCTTTTATCCTCTGGGAATTCAATCACATTTTTCTCTCTCTCTTTTTCTCTCTCTTTCTCAAAAAATATCAGTGTTATCATCGTCATTATGATATATTTCTCTACCCCTCTCTCAATATAATATCATTATTATCATCATCATTATGATATATTTTTCTCCCTCTCTCTTTCTCAATATGGTTTCATTATTATCATCGTGATTATGGTATATTTTTCTCTCTCTCTCTCTCTTTCAATATGATATCAATCATTTATTAATTAACTAGCTAATAATAACTGATAATAAAATCTTCATCTTCATCTTCTTATTCTTCTTCCACAAATCTAGTAGACATATTTGCCAATGGAATTACTTAAAAAGAACTGAAATGAAACTATTTGTAATTATTTTCACAAGAGATACAATTCAATATAATTTACTTGTACAGTAACCATGTGAGCCGATGAAATTCTAAACTAACAATACTGAACTTTTCACAAGACATTATTACAGTAGTATCTTTATTGGAGATATATTATCCATATCATTATTGTAGCATATATTATCTAAATTTTTTCATTATTTTAGCTTCTTTACTAGAGATATACTATCTATATTATATCATTATTGTAGCATCTTCATCAGAGATATATTATTTACATTTTTTCATTTTTTCAAAATTGTAGCATCTTCACTGGAGATATACTATCTATATTATATCATTATTGTAGCATCTTCACTGGAGATATACTATCTATATTATATCATTATTGTAGCATCTTCACTGGAGATATACTATCTATATTATATCATTATTGTAGCATCTTCACTGGAGATATACTATCTATATTATATCATTATTGTAGCATCTTCACTGGAGATATACTATCCGTAATTAATCTCTTCCTTCTCCCCTACTCCACATCTCCAACATTCTCAGAGGCATTCATTTTTTTTTTAATTAAATAATCCATCCATCTTCTACTTACACACACACATTCATTCATCATTCTTTCGTTCGTTCGTTTATTTATACTTTTATTTCTACATTCATTCATTCATTCATTTGTTCGTTCGCTCGTTCGTTCGTTTGTTCGTTCGCTCGTTCGTCGGTCTTTTAATCCGTTTATAAGTTTATTCATCTAGTTCTTAATCCCATTATGTCCCCATTTGGACATGAATTAATCTGTTCACGGTTTAATTAATGGAGAATTCTGTTTTATTATTTTTCGTCTATTTATTCTTTTATTCTTTCATTCATATGTTTTTTCGTTTGTTCATTCGTTTGTTTGTTTGTTCTCTTGTTCGTTCATTCATTCATTCATTCATTCATTCATTCATTCATTCATTCATTCATTCATTCATTCATTTATGCATTCATTCATTCATTTACTAATCACTAAAACTCACAAAGCAAAACTAATTATCATCAAATCATTGGCAATTTAAATAACGGAAATTTTTTTCCATTATTCTCACAGATTTATTGTATTTTACTTTTATTTGCTAATCAAAAAAATTATACTGCCATTCAAATTATCAAATCATTGTAGCCCTAGTTTTATTTTTTCTCTGTTAAATTTTTAATTAAATTTTTTATCTTTCTCGCCAGATAAATTTATTTTTCAGTTACAAATAATTATTTTTTCACAGTTCTCTCTTTAAAAATTTTCAGACGTGTCAACAACAAACACAAGACGCATGTAAATACATACACGCGTGTATGAATGCATCACACACACACAAAGCACGTGATAGAAGTGAATCAGTTTGCATACGAACCCAGTCATTAAAACGGCACTGCCAGGCACTTAGACCATTACACTATCCTGCTGTCAATACTTTTTCTGCCTACAGACAATTTGTAGACATAATTCATTTGATTTTTTAGAGATGTATGCATCTGTTCATACTGAAACTTCATCATCATTCATCATTCATCTATCTAACCGATGTTATGAGCTCCCACACTTCTAATTATTTATTCAATCATTCATGCATTCATTTAGTTACATAGCATTCATTTTTTCATTCATTCACATCACATTCACTCTTTCACTTATTCGCATCACATACTTTCTCTCATTCATTCATTCACCATCATTCCTCCACATCTCATACAACATCACATCAACCAATCAGCTTTCATTCATTTATTCACTTATTATTTAGATTTTTAAAAGACTTTGAGATGAAAATCTTTTGATAAAGTTTAAAAGCCAATGTTTGCCGGACACTTCTATTACATCTTTCTAACAACAGAAATGTTTATTCAACTATTTTTTCGCAAAAAGTTAAAACTTACAAAGTTCTATAACAAATTTTATGGTTTAATTTTTATCTCTAACAAATCAGTTAAAGTTTCGTTCTCTTCTGATATGAATAGTTAAAAAATTTTAAATACAAACGATCATAATTCTAAAAGTTGATGAAATTTACAAAGGCAATTAGCGTTGAATATGTATAAGAAGGAGATGATAAATTTGGGTAAAACTACTATTCCAAAATGGTAAAGAACTGGGAACTAGCATCAAAACGAAAGACCGATCAACATGTAAAAATCGAGAGCCTTCAAAGCATAATGTTCATTCATGCAAGAACTCTGAAGGTGGATGTGGAGTGTCATTAGGCCGCCCCTCACTTTTCTTGCAATCTCTCTCTTTCTCTCGTCTCTCTCTTCAATGCTGCCTCTCACTTTTCTGTCGATCTCCCTATTACGGGTTTCCCTTTTAATTTTTTCGCGGTCTCTCTCTGGTTGTATGATATAAAAAATTGAAAGCATTTCATGTTTGTTTTTTTTTTTTCATTTTATGTATTTTTTTGTGGTCTTACCAACGCCATAACAACCACACAACTAGCCAACCACAAACACAACCAGCCACACACCACAAACAACCACAAAACACAAACAACCACACACCACAACCAACCACACACCACAGCCAATCCACTCCATTGCGATTGTGCCACAGTTTTTATCGCCAAGTCATCCCGACCCATCTCATCACTCTTATCATCATCGTCGTCGGTACCAGTGTGGCAACCATCGTCGCCACCACTATCATTGTGGTCGTCATTTCCAACTGGTCAGTGTCAATCGCCAGTGGAATTCGCAGGGCAGCATCTGGCATCATTCAACAGAGACCTTTTCTACAAACACTGCAACAAGTTCATTCAACCAAACCAACACCACCACCAACAACAACAGCATCAAAACTCATTAGACCAGCAACAACACCAGCAACATCAACATTCATTAGACCAGCAACAACAAAAACATCCCACTCAACGAGTTATGAACCAACAAATTGATTTAAAACAGCAACAATTTAATTCCATAAATCCAGCGCAATCAAAATTCAACAACAAAAACAATGTATCAGTTTTTTATGATCAGCTCAACAACATCAACAACAATAACATCAACAACAATAACATCAACAACAATAGCATGAACAACAATAACAATAACATAGACTACATTGATAAACACCTAGCGGACCAACAACAACAACATCAAACATCTCATAAACAACAAAACCAAACGTTCTCTTTATCGCAGAAACTTCAGCCATCAAGCGATACAACTTCAAAAGCAATCATAAACCACTTGAACAGCAACGATAATAACAAAGTCAACACTGACGACAACAGTATCAAAGACATCATCAACAACAACATCATCAACAACAACATCAACAAAAACAACATCAACAACATCAACAACAACAACAACATCAACAATAACAACATCAACAACAACAACATCAACAAAAACAACATCAACAACAACACTGACAACCGTTTGACAGGTAACGAAATTAGCAGCAACAACCCAAAAACTTACAGCAGCAGAATCATCAACAGCAATACGCACCTTCAAAGCAACTCCAACCACAACAACAGTAGCCACAACAACAACAGCAGCAACATTTTCAGCAACGTCAGCGACTACTACAACAACGAAATAACGAACGCGTGCGTCGTAACTACAAAATGTTCCTACCCGAGGAAAAAGATGAAAAATGAGGCGAGCAGTTTGATGATGACGAAGACGACGACGATGATTAAGTTGGTGTCAGGGTTAACTACAATGATAACTTTTTTAATGTGGTGACTAGATATGTGTTGTTTGAAATGTAATACACACTCTCTCTCTCTCTCTCTCTCTCTCTCTCTCTTTCTCTCTCTTGCTTTCTCTTACTATATATATATATATACTGAATTTTGAAAGTGGCTAAGTTATTTGAAGCAAGTTTCAACAAAGCAATCTGTTCGTCTCGATGTTTAGAAAAATGTTATTTCAAATTATTCAACGAAATGTTTGTTTTAAGCATTGATGTTATAACAAATACACACATACAGATACACACACACACATACATACACACATACCACACACATACCACACACACAGAGACATACACACACAAACACACAGACATACATACACTACACACACAACACATACACATACATACACAATACACACAGACCACTCACACACACACACACACACACACACACACACACACATATATATATATATATATATATATATATATATATATATATTTACATGTATACTGATTGCATTATGTTATATTTATTTTTTGAAATATTAGTAAAATTCGAACAATCTACCTAATTATTTAATTCATTCCATTTTAGTGATAATTAATTTTTATTTTAAATTTAAAATTTTCTATATATATTTGAGACTATTCCTTGAAAAAACATTCGAAATTAAATATATATCCAACAATGTTTATTCAAAACGTAATAGCAGTCAACAAATTTCATGCGTGTTTCTAAAATATGATATATAATATAGGTAATATATAATATAAGTCTGATTATTATGCCATCTGCATTGGTGAGTGAGTGCATTTTAGTTTTATAGTTGGAGATGAAACATTCAAATCGAAATAACGATACAGATAGCGAAGCAAGTATTGGAACAACTGCCACAACTCACATTGAAACTAGAAGCGCTGTTTGAGTAACCAAATACAAACAAAATAACTTTTTACTCTGACTTCAGACTAGTAACCAGATAACAAACAGAATTGCCAATGAAACGACAACACAAATAACCATAGAAACAAACAACGAAACCGCATAGCAAAAAAAACATCAATGAGAACGAAACGAATGACGAGGCATCATCAATTTAGGTGCTGCTGATTTTATAGCTTCGAGTCACGTTAATTCGATTCTATTATTTCATTTATTCAAAATTAACCGGTAATAAATTGCACTTTTTTATTTTTGTACTGAAATAATTTTTTAATTACATATTTTAAAATAAATAATTAAAAATATATGCGTGTATGTCGTTCATATTTTAGCATTAACATCGAAAGAAAGCATAAAAAACTGAATTACGGGTTTGGTTGGCTTATTGGTTGGTTGGTTGGTTAGTTGGTTGGATGGTTGGTTGGTTGGGTGGTTGGTTGCTGTTTGGTTGATGAATTGTTGGTTAACTGGTTGTCAGGTTAATATCCCATATTAACATATCCAGTAATGAGGATCAATATCTGATTCAATTGCATTGCAATTTTAACAAGATGGTAGGTGAAATGTGACTACCTATTAATTAATTTTTAACTTTTCAATTAAATTGTTACTCAAATTAATTATTTTAACGTTTATCTTAATTATTTTAAATACAATTAAAAATATTTTTTATTTGTCTTTGTATGAGAATATATACGAGTTGAAATGCTGTTAAAGTTAGAAATTTCACTAATTTATCTCTCTTTGAACATGAGAGTTGTCATATCATAGATTGATTTTCACCGAAAGACTTGATATTTTTATGATCTGTAAATACTCGTGTTCCATATCTCAATTTCATGTTTAATTATTACCTAATTTATTATATAATTACTTTCATCCTACCAACATTTGGACGTATTAAAAAGTTATTTATTTTCTATTTGCTTGTTTGTTCTTATTGTCGAATAATTAATTTCTCATTGATTGCGATTAGTTTTCATTAATTAAAAATGTGAATTGAGAAATGAATTAACCAGAAATAAATAAAATCACTATAAATAGACTAAAACAAAAAGGTAGAAAATCCTACAGAAACTGGCTCGGCAACAAAATGAAAAGCACAACGCGTCAAACGAAGCTACTCAACATTCGAAATATTTCAACAGAAAAAAATTCATGTTTATTTTGAAAAAAATTTTATTTCCATGGCAACTTATTTATATAAAGATACAAGTGACGATACAAATACCGATACAAATACCGTTACAAATAACGGAACTTATAACGATACAAACGTCGATACTAAAAACTTTTTCTAGTTCTCCAAAGGTGTAAACTTTTTTAAAGGATAATGTTTTTTAATGATATTGCCTGTGAAGCACAATCATGAAAAAGCAGTTAAATTCTTCTTGTCTGTTAAACGCACTGTAGGAATTCAAACCTTCATCTGAAGAACTCAAGATATTGGAGGTGAATTTAAAATCGTTAATGAATTAGTGAATTAGTGAATTAGTGAATTAGTTGATTAGTAAAATGAATTGAAATAAGTTTAATGAGCAATTTTTAAATCACTGAACAATCCTTCGAGTTGAAAGTGTTTAGTGAAAATTTTACAAGTTCGTTAAAGAAATTAAACTAAATAGCAAAACAATAAATTGATTTATGAGATTTAATTAAAAACTTATAAACATAAAAAGTTTTTTTTAATCCAAAACTTTTAAAAAAATACAATGTCGTTTAAACTCCTACTTACGTGGTTTCAAGCTGAATAATTTTAACATAATCTACAACATCAACACACACAATGTACTCACACATACACATAGGACCCGAAAGGTCATTATTTTAGACGAGCTCTAGATAACATGTATATATCACATTTCAATGTTTTTATTTTTGAAGCATCTTCATAGACCCTTTAAAACCCCTTAAGTTTGGAGGCCAATGCCAAATGACCCATCCGTCCCTACCTTATGTGGCCAGCACACACATAGGTGCGTTCTACACGCCAGCATCTAATTAAACACACAAAAAATGAAGTAGTTTTTAAATCAGTTACAGTCAAATAAGCAAAATTATTGTTCCTCTGAAATAAATTTAAATATTGATTGATGTTTCCACGATTTACTGAATTCTAAACGACTGAACAATCTCTCGAATGCCACATGGATCAGTGAATCTATTGAAATGTAAACTAGCATAACAAAAATATTTTTGCAATAAGTTGGTGGATTTGAAAATGAGTTAATATATCAATTATTTGAAAAATAATTAAGTTTTTAATTCAAAAAAATGTCTTAAAAACGTAAAACTGATTATTCATTGAAAGAAAAGTTATTGAACGACAGAGGTAAAAAAAAGTTGTAATGGTAAATGTGACAAATGCAAAACAGCAAGATGGTCGATAACTTGATGAAAATAAATCATAGAAGACCAATGAATTGATCGGAACTTGATTTTTATAAAGTAAATAAAGTTACGTAAATTGATAAATTTTCAAGTTAACTATATAACCATGGAATAAATAGAAAAAAAAGAGTTACAAACCAATGAAGATAGGAACGAAACAAAACAACTGACCGAAGAATTAATGAATGAGCAGCTGAAAGAGAAAGAGAGAATAAGAGGGAGAGATGGAGAGAGAGAGAGAGAGAGGACGAATTTTCATTCCTCCAAAATGTTTCATGACGTGTTCAGGCATGACTCTCACTCAATCACATTAACCGTCGTCAGCATCGTCAACTCATGCTAAATGACTCACGAATAAAATATTACATTAATTACCTGCCGATATTTATTACATTATATTAATCACATTGCATGTATATATACAGTGCGTGTGTGTGTGTGTGTGCGTGTGTGTGTGGTGTTTGTGTGTGCGTGTGTGTGGTGTGTGTGTTTGTGTGGGTATGAATAGCAAAACTAAAATACTAGGTGAACCAAATAAAAACCACCATCTCCCTCTAGCACAACCTTCGACTTACATTGCGATATAGCCAACTTACTACAACTAAATTACTATTGAAAAATGATTACTATTCAAACATTTCAATTTTACTGGCTATCGAATGTTCCATCACTTATTGGGTTACATTTGGAAGGTAGAACACTGATGGTAAACATGTGTTAGTGTTAACTCAAGGGTAAAGAAGCGTTTTGTTAAAAAAATACGTTATTTTTTTTTTATTTTAATTTTTTATTTCTTAAACTTATGTTGATAATTTTGTTTTCAGCTTCACGGTGAAAATGATTTTTCCTCAGCTTCATATTCTGCTCATCTTCAGTAAGAGAATTTAAAATTCTCAAATTTTTCCTGAGTAAGAATTGGTTAACTTTTTTGAATAATGCAAGCAGACCTCTCGACCGGAAAAAATTCTTCCAGAAAAAAATTGCAATGAGTTGATTGTGAATACGTGTAACGTAGTTCACCGCGGAGGTTTACATCGGGAGGTGAGGTTATGGGCTGGAGTGAGAAATGAGATCGGAATTAATAAAATTATGAGACTGAGAATTAAGAGGGCCATTTGAGTATCAGCAGTTTCTTTAGCTGATCGTGTGTGTGTGTGTGTGCGTATGTGTGTGTGTGTGTGTGTGTGCGTGTGTGTGTACGTGCGTGAGAGAGAAAGAGAGAGCAAGAAAGAAAGAAAGATGTAAAAATAGGGAGAGAGAGAAAAGTGACAGATGGAGGAAAAATGGAGAATGAATTCGTCTTTGAATGTGTGTGTGCGTGCGTGCGCGTGTGTGTGTTTAATCACATTAGTATGCTTGCCCCGTCGTTCGAGTTCAAATATTAAAACTGATTGAATGTGAGGCGCAAATATGTTGGTGTGTGTGGCGGGCTTCCTTCCTGCGTCTGTCTATGTGTAGTGCGGTTAAAACAAATAACCATCGCAAATATGTTAAAGGTACATTAAAGTACATTGCAAGAACATTGACCAGTTAATTCATAGAAAGTCAACGTTTAGAAGCACATACATCAGTAGCAGGAGAAGTTTTAGAATGTTCTACAATATCCAACTGTCAGTTGGTTGTCTACGATGAACGAGGTTCGCTTCAGTGGCTCTGTACGTTTCTCTTGCATCTTGTCTTTGTATGCAAACATTTCTCTTGGTCGTG